GTAGTAGTGGTAGTAGTAGGAGTAGTAGTAGTAGTGGTAGTAGTATAGTAATGTAGTAGTAGTCGTTGTAGTAGCAGCAGTAGTAGTAGTAGTAGTAGTAGTAGTAGTAGTAGTAGTCGGGGTAGTAGTAGTAGTAGTAGTAGTAGTTCTAGTACTAGTAGTAGTAGTAGAGGTAGAAAAACTAGGAGCAGTAGCAGCAGCAATAGTGGCAATAGTAACCGTAGCAGTAGTAGTCGTAAAAATCGTAGTAGGAGTAGTCTTAGTAGTAATGGTCATACTAGTAGTAGTAGTAGTAGTAGTAGTAGTAGTAGTAGTAGTTGTAGTAGTAGTAGTAGTAGTAGTAGTAGTAGTAGTAGTAGCAGTAGTAGTAGCACTAGTCGTTGTCGTAGTCGTTGTAGTAGGCGTAGTAATAGTGCCGTAGTAGCAGCAATAGTGGTAGCAACAGTAGTAGTCGCAGTCGTAGTAGTAGTAGTAATAGTAGTAGTAATAGTAGTAGTCGTAGTAGTAGTAGTAGTAGTAGTCGTCGTCGTAAGAGTAGTAGCAGTAGTAGTGGTAGTAGTAATAGCAGTAGTCGTCGTGGTCGTCGTCGTCGTAGTCGTCGTAGAAGTAGTAGTATAAACAGTAGCCGCAGTCGTAGTAGTACTCGTAGTAGAAGTAGAAGTAATAGTAGTAGCAGTAGTAGTAGTAGTAGCAGTAGTACTAGTAGTAGTAGTAGTAGTAGTAGTAGTAGTAGTAGTAGCAGTAGTAGTAGTAGTAGTAGTAGTAGTAGTAGTAGCGGCAGTAGTAGTAGTCGTAGTAATAATAGTCGTAGTCGTAGTCGTATGCGTGGTAGAAGTCGTAGTCGTAGTCGTAGTCGTCGTAGAAGTAGTCGTAGTAGTAGCAGTAAAAAGTGACAGTAGTAGTCGTAGTAGTAGCCGTAGTAGTAGTAGCCGTAGTCGTAGTAGTAGTAGTAGCAGCAGCAGTAGTAGTAGTGGTATTAGGAGTAGCAGTAGCAGAAGAAGTAATAGTAGTTGTAATAGTCGTAGTCCTAGTCGTATGCGTGGTAGAAGTCGTCGTAGAAGTAGTCGTAGTAGTAGCAGTAGAAGTAGTAGTAGTCGCAGTAGTAGCCGTAGTAGTAGTAGTAGTCGTAGTCGCAGAAGTAGTAATACTAGTAGCAGTAGTAGTAGTAGTAGAAGTAGTAGTAGTAGTAGTAGTAGTAGGAGTAGGAGTAGTAGTAGTAGAAGAAGTAGTAGTAGTACAAGTAACATTGGTATCCGTAGTCGTAGCTGTATTACTATTAGTAGTAGGATGAGTAGTAGTAGTAGTAGTAGTAGTAGTAGTAGTCGTAGTGGTAATAGTAGTAGTAGTAGTCGTCGTAGTAGTAGTAGCAGCAGCAATAGTAGCAGAAGTAGTAGTAGTAATAGTAGTAGTAGAAGTAGTAGTAACCGTGATAGTAGTAGTAGTAGTAGTAGTAGTAGTAGCAGCAGCAGTAGTAGTAGTAGTAATAGTAGTAGAAGTAGCAGTAGTAGCAGAAGTAGTAGTAGTAGTAGTAGTAGTAGTAATAGTAGTAGTCGTCGTAGTAGTAGTAGTAGTAGTAGTAGAAGTCGGAATAATAGTAGTTGTCATCGTAGTCGTAGTAGTGGATTGGACGGGAGGGTTTGAGAGAATTGGCAATGAGGAGGGCTCAAGAGGCGAGCCAGGAGAGGGTGACAGCAGGGGAACCGAGGAGCCATGAAGATCGAGGAGGAGTAGGAGTTAAAGCTATGGTAGGGGAGAGAAGTGTTGAATAGGAGAGATCAGGACATGTAGGAGTTGGGTTTGAAGGGGAGACCAGAAGGATGAAGCAAAAGGGAGGCCAGAAGGCGGATTGAAGAGGAGAGGTCGTAGGGACGTTCGAGGACGTCCTCCTCCTCCTTCTGCTCCTCCCCCCGCATCCTTCGCCTCATCATCCTCCTCCCTCCCCCTCCTCCTCCTCCTCCTCCTCCTCCTCCTCCTCCTCCTTATCCGCCACCTCCGCCTCCCCTAACATCTGGCGACACCCTTTGTTCAATTCTCTGGCCTCAGATGTCCAACACCGAGAGTAGCAGCCTATGACATGAACCCCTCTTGGGTGTTGCTAGAAGTGCCCCTGGCCCATGGTGCCACCAGAATTCCCAAAGAGGCCCCCACGGCCTGCAGAGCACCCCTCAGGAGGCCCTGAGGGTCCCAGGGGCTCCAAGATTGAGCGAAAAGCTGCGGGCACCTTGGGCCAGGAGCACCCTTAGTAACCCCCGATCCTCCTCCCTCATCCCTCGTCACTCGTCCCTCGTCCCTCCAACTCCTCCTCATCATCATCCTCCTCTCCCCTCCCTCCGTTCCTTCTCCTCCTCCTCCTCTTCCTCCTGCTCCTCCTCCTACTCCTACTCTGACTCCTACTCCTACTCCTGCTCCACCTCCTCCTCCTCCTCCTCCTCCTCCTCCTCCTCCTCCCTCCCTTCCTCCCTCCCTCCCTCCCTCCCTCCCTCCCTCTCCCTCCCCTCCCCTCCCTCCCTCCTCTCCCTCCGCCCTTCCTCCCTCCTCCTCCTTCCTCCTCCCTCTCCCTCTTCCCCTCTGCTCCCTCCTCCCCTTCCCTCCTCACTCCTCCAACCTCATCCTCCTTCTCCTCCTCCTGCTCCTCCCTCCCTCCCTCCTCTCTCCTCCCTCGTCCCTTCCCTCCTCCTCTCCCCTCCCCGTTCCTCTCCCCTCCTCCTCCTCCTCCTCCTCGCTCCTCCTCTCCTCCTCCTCCTCCTCCTCCTCATCCTCCTGCTACGCGGCCTCCTCCTCCGCCTCCTCCTCCTTCTCTCCTCACCGGCCTCTCCTCCTCTGCCTCCGCCCCCTCCTTCTCCTCCTAATCCTCCTCCTCTCTCCTCCTTCCTCCTCGCCTCCTCCTGCTCCTCGTCCTCCTCCTCCTCCTCTCCTCCTCCGCCTCATCCCCGCGGCGTGGAGGGGGGGCCTGCCCGCCGCGGCCCATGGCGCGGGCGCACTCCGTGCAGAGCGCCGCGGCCACGGCGCCGGGGAGCTCGCGGAGGCCTCGAGAGCGACGACGACGACGACGACCACCACCACCACCACCACCACCACCACCACGACGTAATCCCTTTTCTCCTCCTCCTCCTCCTCCTCCTCCTCCTCCTCCTCCTCCTCCTCCTCCCTCTCCTCCTCTCCTCCTCGCCCCTCTCCCCTCCCCCCTCCCTCCTCCACTCATCTCTCGTAGTGTCCTCCCACGGCTGTGTCCTCCTCCCCCCCCCTCCCTCCTCCCTCCCTCGCCCAGCCTGGTCCCCCCATCATCCCCCTCCCTCTCTCGTCAGAGCCCTCCTCTTTCCCCACCTCCTTCCTCCACCCTCTCTGTATCCTCCCTTCTCCTGTCTTTCCGTCTTCCCTCCTCCCAACTCCCTGCGCTCCTCCTGCTCCCTCCTCTTCCCTCCTGCCCTACTAGGGGAGGAGGAGGAGTGAGGAGGAGGAGGAGTGAGGAGGAGGAGGAGGAGGAGGATTGAGGAGGAGGAGGAGGAGGAGGAGGAGGAGGAGGAGGAGGAGAAGGAGGAGGAGGAGGAGCGAATGGAGAGCTGGTGCTCCTCACGCGAACTCCCACTTTGCCAGCGCGCACACGGAGGAGGGCGGAGGAGGGAGGACACGAGGGAGAAGGGAACAGGCAGACGCCTTCCCGTCCTCCTCAGACCTCCGACGGGGCGATGTTTCACGACGTGC